GGACAGGTAGTGAGGATTCGCTGGTGGGCCAAACAGGAAAGATACCTACCCTTGTGGGCTTAATTCTAGGAGAGAAGTCAGAAATAAATGAGCAGTACACAACATAATCACAGATTGTCCCGAGAAAGAAAAAGTTATGTGATAGAGATAATGAGGGTCAGGTGTGGTGGCTCACACCTGTGATTCCCAACACCTTGGGAGGTCAAGGTGGGCAATCACTTGAGTCCAGGAGTTGGAGACCAGCCTGGCCAACATGGCGAGACCCTGTCTCTACAAAACATAGAAAAACCAGTCAGGTGCGGTGGCTGGGCCTGTAGCCCCAGCTACTGAGAAGACTGAGGTAAGAAGATCACCTGAGTCTGGGGAGGTTGAGGCTGCAGTGAGCCCAGATCGTGCCACTGTACTCCAGCCTGGGCAACAAAGTGAGGCCTTGTCTCAAAAAAAGAAAACAAACAAAGAAAAAACAAAAAAGGAATAATGGGAAGGGATGTGACATTTAGAAACAGTGGTGAGCTAAGGTCCCTGAGGAAGTAACATTTGAACAGAGACTTGAAGAATAAAGACCAGAGGCAGTCATACTAAACCCGGGAAAGGGTATTCCAAGAGGAGGGAACAGAAAATGCAAAGGTCCAGAACTAGGAAAGAGTTTTCTCTGTTCAACAAAGGCCAGCGTGGGTGGAGGATATGGAAGGAGAGAGCTGGAGGTGGAGGGTAAAGTAGAAAAGGTTTCCAGGAACCAGATCCTAAAGGGGTCCCGCAGAAATTAATGGAAGGCTTTTATGTAGGGCAGCCTCATGATCTGATTTGCATAACTCTGGCTTCTACATGGAGAATGCATTATCTGAGAGCAAGAGGGAGTATAAAGATACCAAATAAACAGCTGTTGCAGTCCACGCAAGAAAGGATGCTGTGTTTGACCAGAGCCTTGGGGTGAAGACGGAAAATATTTTAGACGGAAAATGGACCGAACTTGCTGGCAATTAGGATGTCAGGGGTGATGCGGCCTATAAGTAGTGACATTTATGAGTATGGGGAAGACTGGAGGGTTCGGGGATGCAGTTTTGAGGGAAAACATCAAAAGATCTGTTTTGGGCATATGACATTTGGGATGCTAATTGGACATCCAAAGTGAAGATCTTGGCTGGGCTCAGTGGCTCACACCTGTAATCCCAGCACGTTGGGAGACCGAGGCAGGCAGATCGCTTGAGGTCAGGAGCTCAAGACCAGCCTGGCCAACATGGCAAAACCCTGTCTCTACTAAAAATTCAAAAAAAGTTAGCTGGGCATGGTGGCTCACACCTGTAATCCCAGCTACTTGGGA